TATCGGATCCTCTAAACTTAGCCAGAGTCAACGCTACGCATGATCGCTATATATTATTACATCCTTTCTCCTTTATAAAAGAACAAACTTCAAACTAATTACCGTTGACCGTTACTCAACAAACAAACATTACAGAGTCTCGTCAAGAAAATCTCGCTTCCGATTTCTATAGAAGTCAAATATACCCTTTATCTTGAGTACATTAAATTAAATCAGTCTTGCAATGCTTCAAACTCATCTAAACACAACTTTCTAGTAAAATGTACTCTAATTAACTTGTCATGTTGCTACTTTGAATAATGATTGGTTCATCCTAGCACTGTACGTCTCACAGATTAAGTTTGACCGGTTTGTAAACCTTCCTGCCACATCTCGACACAACCACTGGAGTGCGTGTCGATATCTTCAACTGAGGTGGCAGTCTTTTGGGAGGACTGCCTGCGATTGGTGCGATTGGTGGAGGCGACAGGTCGGTCGGTAGGGGAGGATTTCTCCTGACGCCCGCACAGAATTACAGGTTTCGTCGTGATCTTTGTGAGGTTGTTCATGAACAACCAGGAGCTCATGATAATTCTCCACATCGTAATCATCCGTAACTACGTTGATATGCTGTCTCGCACCTTTACTATTCCAGCGAGGCTGGTTTCTCCCCTTGTGCAGACTTTCACATTTTGCCTTGAAGTGGTTCGGTTTGTGGCATTTTCTGCAGATTTGTCCATAGGCAGGACATAGCTCTCGTTTCAGTACATGTGTCTTGCCACAGTACAAACATTCTAGCGTTAGGTTTCTCTTCCTTGTGAAGGTGTCCCTTTCTACCTTTGTAGTCTGGACTACGGTACACCTTCCTTTGTGTATACCTCACTTTGTGTACTGCTGCCTCTGCAGCTGCACCTCCATCTAGAGTACTTACATTTTGTTTCGTGAGCTCTGCTGCTCTAGCTAGCTCAATAGTTTTATGCAGTGTTAGCTCAGGAGTTCGGAATAGCCTTTCTCTCAGATGCTGGTCTTTTACACCGCATACAAGTTTATCTCGCACTAAGGAGTCAGCTAGATGCCCAAAGTTGCACGTTTGAGATAGCATATTCACATCGGTGATAAATTTCTCAAGTGTTTCGACACCTTGTACACGCATATTAAACTTGAAACGCTGTATAATCTTGTTTTTCTTCGGTTGTTTCGGTATCACAATTTACAATATATATTTCTTATTATAATAGGTCAAATACTCCCAGCACTTGGAGCCGGTAGGGTTTACAAGAACCGTGAAGCTATGTGTCCAGGAGCCACGGAACATCAAGACCATCGCTACGGACAGACACGTGACAATCCGATGCTTAATGAGGAAGGAGTTTCCAAATATTACGCATCAGTTTGACGTGTGGCACATGGCAAAGCGTATGTACAGGATCAATCACTACAAATGAATTTTTTGTCTAGGAATAGTATAATAATCGTTATATTTTATCATATTTTTCATTTAGATTTATTGACTTAGGTGTTCAGAAAAAACTCCTAGCCGGAGGGAAAAGGAAAGACTGCAACGAGGTTCTGCCATGGGTGCAGAGTGTGATTAATCACTTATGGTGGTGTGTTTGCTCGTGCGAAGGTGATGCAGACCTCATTATGTATATATTTCTATATGTTATTTACTAACTGCGTACGAGTTTTACGCGAGTTGTGTTGTAACATGCAAGGTTTTGTGCATACGGTTTACTTCACTGACTCGTGAGGAGATTTATTTTACGTACAATCACATATTACCAAGAATGTGTTAAGTGTTAGGATACACAATGTAAATGGTGCTATACATTCTTTCATCACCATTACAGGGAGATGTGGATCTCGATACTGTGCCATGTCGTCAACAAACACAGTTGGAACTATGGCACAGTATTTCACAAGTGTGCGCATGAAGTGAAGTGCGCTGAAGACAGCAATACCTGCTATCTGCGACCAGGGTCGTTCGCGCACAAACTACTCCGTCAGGTGGTGATGGACAACCGGCCCCTGAGTGACATGAGCCACCTCACGGAGTGCTGTCACCCGGCCACATAGAGGTCTACCACAGCCTCCACCTAAAGTACGCTTCAAAGTGTATACACTTTGGGTTTAAAGGTATGTGACTAACCAGTAATAAAAGTAGATTAATTACTAGTGCTGTCATTGATGGAAAATTTGATGAATATGGTCCATATGTTAGTACTTTATTATCTTTCGGTGCTGTACAAAATTATACTGGTTACTGCGTAGCGCTCAGTCTTACTGCACGTCAATTTGAGCTTGTATGTTGAGCGGCGACTGGGACCCTGTCTATGCAAGTTTAACTTCCAAAAGCAAAATGTCACTGCATTGTTTGGTAAAAGCTAGGTTAGTTTTGAAGTTAATTTCAGACATTATGTTAGTTTACGCGTGCAGCTGAACTACATCGATATCAGTTCATTGTGTATCAATGCATCATCCCTTGACCAAAAATTGCGATACAACGATATCGCAATTTTCAATGACAGCACTATCAATTACTTATGTTGACCGCTTCTTACATACAAAATACTTGTATTTAAAGGTATGCTTGCAAGAGCACAGCTAACAGCCCTGGACAACAACGAAAGCACTAATCGTGCGCTTGTTCATGATGCTGAGAGCAACCCAATTTATAGGCAGGCATTCAATAAGGCCAAGAAGTACTGGATCGTAAAAAAGCGGTACTGTACTAAGACGCACCGTTTCTGCCATGAAATCTTGGTAACTGCCCTGGATATGCAGAAAGGATGTATGTACATACTCTCTCTTATACTATTTTACTCTTCATATAATTGTCGTATTTTTGTCTTCATATAACTTATTGTACTTCATTCAGTCACATGTAGCAGTTCACCAAATTTGCACTCATTGCATATTCAACAGCTAGGTTATTCGTCTATAGTTACAAGTTATGATTAGTAATTCCAAAATGATATCTTGCTTTAAAAATTAAGGTGAAGAAGCAAGATATGCCTAAATTCCAGCATTACCAAAAAATATAGCTGCGCAGCCATGCCCACCTAAGGCAGAACTTGTGGAGAATACACCAATCGAGGTTCCCGGAGACAGCGAGAACACACAAGTTTTAGTAAGGTTAGTTACCAGGGTGATACTATACTGTGTGAACAGTGTAAATAGCAAGATAAACACAATGCAGTCTATGTACAAATTCCTTTGTAGTTAGCAAGTCGCATTTTAGTGTGGCAGCCAGCCTGCCAGGCATCGTCAACTTCCGATATATAATCAGACCCGGCCTTCTTTAAAGCCTACATAATTGCCTATATAAAGCCACTGAACTCTGGGAAGGCAGATCGTATTGCAGCAATTACACAGGCAGGAATCCCGGGGGGTCACTATATATCCCGGTATTACCCCATGTGCGTTCTCACTAAAAATAATAGGCCCCCTAGTGCGAACTGCACGTTGGAAAACCCTACCTCCTATTGCAGAAACAATTGAAAAATACCACCCCCTATTGCATACACAATAAAAATATCCCACCCCCTATTGCATACACAATGAAAGAGACCTACCCGGACCCCTACCCCCTATTGCGAGGTCTTGCAGACAAGTGGAAGGCAAAGAGTGGAGGGAATGGAGGGGGCCCGTGAGGGGGGGCCTACTGCGGGCGCGGTGCTTGACTTGAGCGATCACGAGGGCTTATTGCGGGATTAGCTTTGTAAAGGGGGGCCTATTTGCTCCCGCGCGGGCCCGCTTTAGAAGTTGAAAAACACCCCCCTAACCCGCAAAATTTGGAACGCACATGGGGTAATATAGGTTCCCGGAGACAGCGAGAACACACAAGGTTTAGTAAGGTTAGTTACCAGGGTGATACTATACTGTGTGAACAGTGTAAATAGCAAGATAAACACAATTGATGCAGTCTAGGTACAAATTCCTTTGTAGTTAGCAAGTCACATTTTAGTGTGGCAGCCAGGCATCGTCAACTTCCGATATATCAGACCCTTCTTTAAAGCCTACATAATTGCCACTGAACTCTGGGAAGGCAGATCGTATTGCAGCAGTTACACAGGCAGGAATCACTCTTCTCACACAGCGCCCAAGTCTTTTATGTATCCATGGCAGTAGGTAAAATTGCGGTATCCTGCCAGACGTAAAACTCTACAAGAATATAAAAATAGTAATATTTTATAGTGTAATCATTAACTATAGACGAGTTTCAGTAGCTATTGCCCCTAGCAAATCCTGGAATCTACCGTGCATGTGCTGCAGCATGCTGAAAAACATTTTTATAGCTTAAAGAGGATGTGCAATATCTATTTTTATGCGATTATATCTAATAATTTTGGTATATGTTGGGGAAAAATGTCTATATTTCACGATAGCATGCATAATTCATCTGTAACGCGTTTAGGTGGCTCAGTCACTATTACACATTTCCGAAGATTGCGTTTGAAAACGGCGCCGAATTTCCCAGCGGCAGATGTGACGCCATTTCCAGGACATGATTGTACGACACGACACAGTCTGACACGATGAATGTAGAAAGTAAATACCGCAGAGATTTTTTGACAGAATCAGCAAGTGGACGTGATGATAATGAAGATATTGAGTTCTGTGAGACTGGTGCAGCTAGTATGGGAGCAGAAGTAGTGATTGGCCCACATATGTATGAACCAGATGCATCCTTTATCAACCAGTGTATCCGATTTAGGATTTAATTTAGTTCATTTGACTGAATGCAGATGGCAGCACCTCACTGTAACCATTTATGCGCATCCGCAGAGAAGATGACTGCCCCCATGGTTTAAGACAAAGCTGTTTTGAAAGGTAAGAATTTGTTCAAAAAACCTTCTTTAGCATACAAGTAATGCAGGCTACCAATAATTTTTCCGATCATGATTTTTTTCAATCACATTTTCGTCGGACCTGCTAAACCGTGAAATGACGCGAAATGAGGGCCTCTCTCTCTCTCTCTTCCCCCATCATTCTCTCTCTCTCTCTGGATATCCATTCTCCGTGTGTAAAGGTTTAACGTGGATATCAAGCATCATCTACGTCGAAAAGTTCGCATCTACATTGCTGATCTCTCTACATCGAGTCATCGACAATGACTCCATCTACACCTCTACTCCTTCTACATCTACAGCTCGGCTAAAAAATACCACATATCATGGTTGCGAGATCGAGTTTGTTGTAGTACTCGGAATGGTTGCTATAAGGCATCGCGAGAAGCTTTGTTACTGCTACGGTGGCAGTCAGCTTGTCCCTAGCAACGCGCACCTCTTGCCTATTTCCGTGCCTCTCATCATGGGAAAGAAATGGGCTTGCAATGTCTGTAAAAAGAACTGCTCGTCTGGCTGCATATATTGTCAGGTATAACATATTTAATAGTTACAGATAGCTGGAGTGATTCTCTCCTTCCTGTGTGAGCTAAAGCCTGTCATATTGTTTGCTGATATCGTGACGGAAATTGTTTCACATCATTTCATCACTAGGCCCTAGTGATAGTAGCAGTTGGCATTAGCATTTTTCCATTTGGTATTCCAAGTAAACATTACCAGGGTGCATTGAGTTTACAACTAACTTAAATTTGCTATTTTTATCCTACCTTCTTACAGATAACTAACTGTTCGCTGATTTTAGAATTTATTCGGGGGATATTCATTATACAGTTGTAAATGTATAAACATGAAGATAATTTCATCTACTACTTAATTGTCATGTAGACGTGCCGCTCCTGGACCCACTTCGAGTGTCAGGAGATAGAGAAAACCAATCAAGATATTTGGGCCAAATTGGAAGGCGATTACATATGCAAGGCATGCCACATAAACTACGATGGATCATTTGACTACCTAATGGGATTGGAGCGCCTTAAACAGGTAAGTTTATAAAGTTTTAATTTAATATCCCACGATGAGGTTTATCACACTAAACTTAATTTTAAACACATTGCAGTTATTGCAGTAATGACGTAACGAGTCAGCGCTCCCAGCTGCGACCGGAAGCAACATACTAGCTCACTAAACGTGGGACGGCCGATGGCAGCTGTAGAGTTTACACACACACACACACGCGCGCGTACGCACGCACGCACACACGCACGCACACACGCACACACACACCAAACAAACATACACGCGCGCGTACACACATAAACATGCACGTACGCAGGCACGCACGCACGCACGCACGCGCACACAAACATGCACGCACGCACGCACATTCACACACACACGCACGCACGCACGCACGCACGCGCACACACACACATACACACACATGGACACACACACACACACACACACACACACGCACACGCACACGCACGCGCTGCATACAAATACACACGAAATTAATTTACTATAATTTATTATTACAATTAAACTTGTAAAATTTATGGTATAAAACGGCTTAGCTCTCGAATAACCAGCCCCCTCCCTAATAAAGGTCGGCCGCGACCACGTGGATAAACACCTATGTGTATCTCTGGCGTTAGGATGCATCATTTTTTTCTTTCAGGCTGCAAAGCAAGGAATGACGAAGCTCACGTGTATTGCACGGAGGGAATGGCTACTTCTGAAGGAAAAGAAAGTTGTCTTTGAACTGCCAATCGACTTCGCACACTGTCAAAACGACCCTGTATCTGAAGCAATTATCGCAGACACCATACAACAGTATTGACGCCGCTTGCATGTACTGGGGATGGCGATTGTTTATTTAATGCTTTTTCGATTCTGCTGAAGGGTGACGAGTCGATGTCAGTAGAGCTCAGGTACAGATGCTGCCTAGAAATGGTAATGAATGGCGAAAAAATAAAGGGCCATCTAGCATATTATGCTAGACTTTCTCTAATATCTTCCGACTTTGAAGATGACTGCATCGATTGTGCGAAACCCCTATCTTGGTCCTCAGTATGGCGGATGATGGCACTGTCCAATTACCTGAATCTTCCGGTGACATCTGTCTATCCTGCCACAAATGGAACAAAAAACATTGTATATACGGCATTAAACACAACTTTCACACAACAGAACGTCAATGTTGAGCAAAAATATATCAAAATCCTTTCGACAAATGTCCGCTATCCAGATTAAAAAAAAGAAGACAAATCAACAGCCACCAAAACGTAAGGAATGGTTTCCAAACCATTTTGTCCCATTGGTTGAAAATCGAGAAAAACCGAGCACCAGATACTGAACACACTATAGATGAGTCTACAGATGAGGCTACAGATGAGGCTACAGTTGAGGTTACAGATGAGGTTACAGATGAGGATACAGATGATGCCAGTTATGATGCCAGTAAATGCAGCACACAAAATGCATCAGCGGGTAAGCCCGAAAAAAACGAATCTGGATCTCTTCCTCATCAAAGGTTCCTATCCATATCTGCAACCATTGAAATCTTCAAAAAAGTAAATTACACCCCATTAGAAAAAAATCCCGGATTCGCTAAAGGAACACAAATATACACAAAAATCTGAACAATAACAAGAATGTTTACAAACGATCGAACAAGCAGAATAGTGAGTTCTGGGACAACTGCGGTACCTAGATTGGCTCATCAAGTCCAGTTCAGCTGTTCTTGGTAACAGATGGGAGATTATCTAGTATATTTAAAAAAGGGGCGTTATTGTACCGAGAGACGTGTTAACAAAGAACTTATCTATACACCTCTTTTTCCTCAACCTGAATTATCACGTATCTTAATATTACATAGATATTATACAAAACTGGCACAGTCTTCCTCCTACCAAGGAAGAATTACTTGGTTTGAAAATTCGCCAAAAGAAAATATTTTTTTGTAAAGGATGTGGCAATTGTTGAATACATCGGCAAATTCCCTGGTCGCGGAAGTCATGGCAACACAAAATACTCATATCCATTAACTGAAGGATATCTGAGATCACACAGTGACACAATAAAAAAATTGCAGATAATGTAAAAGCACACCAACCCAAAAGCCGTTTTTGATGTACTAAACAATGATCCAAGCTTAAAAGAACGTGATAGGCAAAGAAACCATAAAACAAATACAAAACATCAAGTATTTGCAGCGTAAGAAAGCTCGTAAAGATAGCGGTGCAAGTGCTAATATTGCCGACGACTTCGCCAGAATAGAAAATCTGGCGCCAGTGTATTGTGTTATCGCCTATCGGCTTCTTGTGTATTGTGTACATGTATCGTGTGACGTCATTAAACTTGCGTCTTCGTCATCCGGCTTGATCTCTCGTTGCAAGTTTTACTTATTTGCGGTGTGTTGTTCACTTAATATTGGCGTGGTACATGACCATGAATTTGTGCAGCAGGTGTCTCATACAAAAAACAAGACACCATCTATCATTACGTACACCGAAACCCAGCTGAAAGATATGAGGTCATGCTGTGTAGGAGGTGGTTCAGTCTTAGGATTTGATAAAACATAATTTAGGACAAGTGTTTGTGACTGTTTCTGCCTATAAAAATCAGGCAGTTATCAAAAAATATACAGGAGAAAACCCCATATTTCTTGGTCCAATGTTTCTGCATGGCAATTCAGATTTCATAACATACGAACTGTTCATGAATAAAATAGCGTCTAACCTTTCAGCAGAAGAAATTTCAATGATGAGTATAGGAACAGATGACGAAAGCGCCATGAGAAAAGCATGTGCAAGATCATTTCCCAGCGCAATGCATATTCTCTACACTCGGCACCTGAAATCAAACGCGGCCCACTATTTATCAGATAAAGCTGGAGTGGGTATCAAAGGGCGACAGGCCATAATTTCAGCAATATTTGGCACTTCGGGAATCACAATGGCCTGCACAAAGACATGGACTCGTTTGAGTACAGACTCAAAATTGCTAAAGAAACTATTTAAAAAAATGATCACAAAAATGAAGGAAGGAAATTCAGCAAATATTTTCACTTCTGCTTGTTACCACTGACCAAAGAACATGTTATTTCCCCTGCGTTGAAGAAATCATCATCTGAACTGAACTAGACAAATAATAATTGCGTCCGTTAATCATTTACTTAAGCTAGCTTTGCAGTGGAAGCAAAACAAATCATGTAATCTGGTTGATATGTTATATTCTATCGTTCAATCTCAATTCATGGAATACCAACGAGCACTGGTTGGTAGAGGAGAATATTGCCTGAAGCCAGCTTTTACAAAACATCGCATCAGCATTGAAGCATGGGACCTTATGAACAGAACACAGAAGGATGACGCATTTAATAGATTTCTTAGTGACAAAGGGCGAAAGCAAAACATTACATTATCTTCGGACGGAACACGACTTGTAATGAAAAAAGCAACAGCTGGCAAAAAACTTCACCAACGGAAAAGAAAACGAGCAGATAAAACGAGAACGATGGGAACAAAGAGAAGACCAATTAATATTGACTAATTGAGTTTACCTTGCTGTTGCGATATACTTGCTTACGTTCTCTATACAACACGCATCTCTGCTGTCCCGTAATAGCCATTGCCTTAGAAAGTTTTCGTCGTCAGGCGCGTAGCCAGGGGGGGCGGTGGGGGCGGTCGCCCCCCCCCCAAAACGGCTCAAATATTGGCCCAAAATGGCTTTAATATTTCAAAATTTTCTGGGGGGGCATGCCCCCAGACCCCCCTAGCACTGGCATGGCTACGGCACGTGCCAAACGTACGAAAAACGTATGTCAAATTTGCCATGAGCGTGCATGTTAGTATGCTGTATAAATGCACTGTTACTGTGTGCTGATGTGTGTGTTGTTGTGTGTGTTGTGTGTGGTGGGTTGTGTGTGTGTGTTGATGTGTGTGGTAGGTGTGGTGTGTGGTGTTGTGTGTATTATTAGTGTCGCGATGTTGTTGTGGTGTGTGTTGTGCTGTGTGTGTTGTGTGTGTTTGTGTGTGTTGCAAGGGGCGATCCAGGATTGCGGGGCGTGGGTGTCGAAGGGGAGGGGCCGGGCCGGCGTGGAACCCGTCTCTACCCCCTTTTTACGCACAAGAAAGAACAAAGAATCACACATAGACCACGTACCGCCGCTATAAGTAAATTTGTTCAAAGGCTGACAGCAACACGGACGCTACGCGCCCGACTCGCCGCTGCACGCCATGCCAGCCAGCTCCTACCGAGTACGTAGGCATACGGCACGGGCGCACGCCACACACCACAGACATCACACAACACAACAACAACGAAGGCGGCATGACACCCCACCACGGGCAGCTGGGACACAACGCCACAAATCACGCAGCTCACACCACCACAACAACACACGGGCGGCGGGTGCTCTACCTACAACACCATGTAGACAAAGGGGGACAGACGCTTCTGTCGTACTTTGCTCTTCACGCTGCAGATACGAAAAAATTTGGTTTAGGCCTGGATGACGGGGGGGCGCACGTGTCAGGCGACTTACCATCTGTGTTCATTTATTTACGCTAGACTTTCTGATAAAGAATTTAACTTTATATATATGTGAAATCGTTTATAAAAACTTTTAGAAATGGCAAGTAAGGTGTGTTCATCACTCACGATGCCAGCGGCTGAGTTGGATTTTAAACGTCTAGCAGTGAGAGGACTACTATTCGGTCCAACCCCTCGGGTGGTGGGTATCTTTGAATTTGACTTCAAATTTCCTGTAACGGTTTTTTGCTTTTGGTACCAGCTAGCTAGCTGTCGTGTTACATTCACTGGCTTTACAAAAAATTACTTGCTTCAGTATTTGGCTCCCGGATTTGTCGTAATTGTAAACAAGATCTAGCAGCCAATTTTGAAGATTCATAAAACACAGTTTCCTGTGGTTCGTTTGTTTGAAGGAGTTCACAGGACAACACACGGAGCGCAGCTGCCCTGGTCCTCGTAAAGTGCCCTGTCGCAGGCTTACGGTGGACGACGACATGCTCTCGAGGTCAGTGAGGTGAAGGCCCTTGCAAGGCCATGATAAAATCAAAATAGGTGGCCTTGGCTTCGACACACATTTTACCCTGGGGTAACAGTCGCCCGTCCGTTCGTCCGCCGATCTTGTGACACAATAATTCTGGGCCCGACGGAAATAATATGCGTTCGCACGTCCCAACAATCGCTACCGTTTCTATGGGCGTCTTTTGTTTTTTTCGTTCGCGCGCTCGACACTTTTATAATGTTTTTTCGTATTGTGCTAGCTGATCACGCGACACACTCTAAAAATTTTAATGTCCAGTCTTTTGAAAACTTTTATAGACAGATTAGGTTACGACCGATCTGTCGTTTTTGGTGGCCCCGTTGAGGTCTGATCGGATGGGTCGCGATTGTCAGCACATGCAAAAGCGCAGCGTAGCACCTGCGGTTACCCGCAAATTGCTTTTGCCCAGTGAATCAGTTCACCAGTGTATCGTTAAAGATCCACTACGCTGCGCTCATGGTAAACGATCGTCCCCTCGAGGAGTTTGCGGTGGAATCACTTACAGATTTTTGTGCTGTGTAGAGGCGTTTACATATCTGTTTTCTACGCTGAATAATGTGATATGAAAACCAAATCCTTGCATCACATATCTGTGCAAGTTCACGATTGACCCAGCTGTTAGCATGACCCCGTTCACTGTCAACTAACTCCTTGGCCCCCTCTCTTGCTATCGGTTTGAACTTGGTCACGTCTCTCTCATCTCGCTCATCCTCTCTCTCTATAGCCTCTCGTCCGACTTTTTTCGTTTCTCACGCTCTGTGCTTCCTTTTTACCACTCTGTTAGCTTCCTTCGTCGTCGTCGTGGTCATATTCTCTCTCTTGCTTTTCCGTCTGTAAGTCTTCCACATTTCGTTTTTGTTCATTTTGATTGCTGCAAACTACCTTTTTCCTCTCTATTTTCG